GACGCATCCCATAGATGGTGAAAATCCGTGGTTAGTCCTCCACCTTATTGACTATAAAAGTGTCAACCCTTTAACTTATAATATAAAATTTTTAGTATCTTATATTTTATGCCTAAATGAAAAAATCCAAAATAGGTGACCATGTCATGTATTCATTAAAATTTCATTACCCATTACCATGTCAGTGCCAATGTGGCAATTTCATGCCAATGTGGCAATTTCGTGCCATTAGACCTAGTAAATAGGTCAAACTAGGTCGATTCAGACTGAGTTATCTTGGATCTTAAGTTTTTTTTATGGTTAAATGCTAAATTTAGTCATTTAACTTTAATAAATGTACATTTTTTATCCTTCAACAAATTTTTGCACTTTTTTGATCCCTCAACTATACGAAATGCACTCCATTAGTCATTTTGTCAATTTGGGCCGTTAAGTCCACCATGTGGCATTTTTTATATTTTTTTTATGACGTGGAGAGCAAAATTTTAAAACGTGCTAATATGGACCACACGTGTTGCCATGTAATGTTCTCGCGAGCCAAAGGTACCAAATCCACTGAAATGGGCCCCACGTTGCCTGCCAAAGCTCCAATAAACACATGATAAACCCTAGGATTGCAGAGATGTCTTTTGGCTTGCTCTTTTGGGAGAAAAAAAAATCTAATAATTTCTACAGAACAGAGAACATTGCACTTTCGATTCTCCTTTTTGGGATTGCAGAGATTTTCTCAAAGTTTATCCTATCTTCCTTGTTTGATTCTCCGTCAAAGTTTGAACTCAAACCCTAGATTTGCTGGGATTCCAAGGATTTTGCCAAGGGAATCGAAGTTGTGATTGTTGAAAAGTCACTCGAAAGCAAGATCGATGGACCCCAACGACCCCAAAATTGTCGATGTCGACCTGGAACCAAGCAAAGAGATTCTGGAAGACGAGGTATCGATATGGGTTTCCTTCTCCTTTTTTCTATTGTTGTCTAACTGATTTAGAGGGTACTTTTTAATACTGACATGGACCCTTGTCTGATAAAAGCGAGGCAAAATTTTTGATGCATGTTGAACTGCATGACTATTCGAGGAGAAAAGGATAGTAGGTCCCCGCTTAGACAGGAAGTTTGTGTCATTTTTGTCTTTCCCATCTACTTTTGGGTTGAAGAATAATTTCTTTATTGAGTAAAATTGTCTTAACAATTAAAAATTTTTGCTTTCAACATTGCTGGTTTTCTGGTGTCTACTATGTTGACTCGCATCCAAACCAGATCTGTATTGAGTAATTTATTTTGTTTGTTTGCTTTATTTATTAGGGTGAGCATGATTCAAGAAATGAGGCAGAAACCAAATTTGTACCAATTTTCATTCATTTGGGTGGGAGGTTTATACAGGGAGCTGGTAATTCAATTTCATATGTTGATGGTGACTGTGATGACTGGATTATTAATAGGGATAAGTGACACTGTTTGAACTTTATACTAAGATTGGTATTGCTGGATATGATGCTGATATGATCGACCAAATATGGTATTTACAACCAAGAACAACAATTACAGATGGTTTGAAACCTATTAGGAATGATCATGACATTAGGGATGTTTTGGGGGTGTTGAAGGTGGAGGAAAAGGTACATATTTATGTGTCTCATGTCCCAGATTTTGCTAAAATTATACCTATCTTACCATTACCAGCCCCTAGTGATAAGGGTACGGTTACCGACAATCCTATTGAGGTTGAGGGGAGAGTAGAAAATGATCATGTTGATGTGGAAGGCAGAGTTGAGGATGCTAGTCATGCGGTTGATGTGGAAGGCAGAGTTAAGGATGCTGGTCATGTGGTTGAGATTGAAGGCAGAGTTGAGGATGCTGGTAATGATGGTAATGAAGACAGTGAACATTTTGAGGATGAAGATGATTTTCTTCCATATATATCTGAATTGAGTGATAATGAAGATGAGGTAACTGTCGAGGCGAGAAAGAAAATGAAGTCTTTGCATGAGGCAACTTAGACATCAAAAAATGCTAGGAAAGGTGTTAAGTATGGTCATAGTCAACCATCAGCAGGTACTTCATCAACTTTTATTTTGTTTAGTTCATTAATGAGTTAATGGAATACATAGTAACAAATATGCTTTGCCTGCAAGAGCTAGTCATGAAATTCCCTCATCTTCAACTGGTCACAATGATCTTGATCTTGAGGATTCATTAAGCTTAGATGATGATATCGGCTACATTTCAACAAGTGAAGAGGATGGAAGTGAAGTTGAACACGGTAGGAGAAGGAAAGGTAGGCATAAAGTTTTTCGAGGAATAGATGATGGCAATGTACAGATTGAGTTAGGCATGGTTTTTCTAAACAAAGCTGAGTTTAAAAAAGCTGTGGATAAATTGAGCATTATGCAAAGGAGGCCAATTAAGTGGGTCAAGAATGATAAGAAGAGACACAGGGTTATTTGTAATGAAAGGCACTGTGACTAGAAGATTTTGTTAGTGTGGGATAAGCCAACTGAGACATAGATGGTCAAGACATTTAACAGTGAACACACATGTGAATGGGGATCGACTAATCGGAGATGTAATTCAACATTTGCAATGAACCATTTATTGAAGACTAAGGGTTTTACTACTATTTATTTGAAAAGTGGTGATATTTTTACTGAAATATGAGATGAGTTGAACATGGAGTTGACTCAGGTCCAGTGTAGGATTATTAAAAGGAGGCTAAGAAAAACTTTTGAAGGGGATCATTCATTGGAATACAACAAGCTTTTTGACTATGCTGCAGAACTAAGAAAAAGAGATCCAGGAGGGACTATTTCAATTTATGCACCGAGGCCACTACCTGAACTCAACCCTATTTTCTTAAGGATGTATGTGTGTTTTAGTGCAATGAAAAAGGGTTTTAGTGCAATGAAAAAGGGATTTATTGCTGGATGTAGGAGAGTCATTGGTTTAGATGGAGCTTTTCTCAAAGGACCACACAAAGGGGAATTACTTACTGTTGTCGGTAGAGATGCGAATGACCAAATGTACCCAATTGCATGGGGTATAATGGAAGTTGAAAAGGAAGAAAGTTGGTCATGGTTTTTGGAAGAAGTTAAATATGATTTGCAAATAGGAGATGGTGATGGTTATGCTATAATATCTGACCAACAAAAGGTATAATATACTTTATTGTCATTTATATATATAATTTAGTGTACTTTTCAAGTTTCAGTTATACTATCATATGTGCATGGTGTGTATGGTATGCATGCTGTGTTGCAATAAGTTTATATATGCATTTTTTGGTCCCTTAGTTATTATTACTGCACTTTATTGGTCCCTAAACTTGTTGTTATTGCACTTTTTTTGGTTCTCCAACTTTTTATTGTTGCAGTTTCTTGGTCCCTGATCTGATAATGTATTGTAATTTTTTTTTATTATGGTTATAGCTGATAATGTCTTGGTTAAATGCAGGGGTTGATAAATGCCGTTGTAGACCTTTTTCCAAATGCAGAACACAGACATTGTGCTAGGCATAGATATGCCAACTTCAGAAAGAAACACAAAGGGAAGGAATTGCAAGCCTTATTTTGGAGATGTGTGTAGGCACTGAATGAGGCAGAATTTAATGCAGCCTTAGCAGAGTTAGGCAAATTGAAGCCTGCAGCAAGGGATGACATAATGAATGTGGATCCCAAGCACTGGAGCAGAGCTTTTTTCAACGTCGAAATTAAGTCATCTGTGGTTGACAATAACATGTGTGAGGTGTTCAATGCCTTACTTGTTGATACACGACACAAGGCAATAATTCTATGACTCAAGAAATGAAAGCTATGTATGTAGCAAGAATTGTTGTTATGAGAGAGTTTGGATCTGCTAAGTTTGTGGGAGAATTTGGCCCTAAGATTTGGGCTAAGATTGTACGGAATAGGGAAGGTAGCAAGAAATGCAAAGTCCTATGGCCTGGTGGAGGTGGTTTTGAAGTTAAGGATTACCTGAATAGTAAAAATAAAGTCGATTCAGGCAAAAACACTTATATTGTAGATTCGGAAGCTAGAAAATGCACCTATAGGTATTGGGATATATCTAGGATTCCTTGTAGACATGCCATGACAGTATTGAGTTTAAGAAAACTGAGAGTTGAAGAATATGTTTCAGATTGGTACAAGTTGTCAAGATTTAGGGCCTTTTATGCATATGAGGTACCAGTTGTTGAAGGCATGAATCAATGGACATCAACAGGGATGCCAGCCATACAACCACCTGCAACACGAAAGATGCCTAGCAGGCCTAAGAAAAAAAGAAATCCTGAAGAATGGGAAGGAAAGAAAACAATGGGAAGATAAGGAAGACAAATGACCTGCCAGAAATGCTTCCAAAAAGGTCACAATTCCAAATTGTGTAAAGGCCAACCACTGAATGTAAGTAACATGCAAGCTTTATTTTTGTCCCTATATTGGTGCACTAAGTTAATTATACTTTGGTTACCATTTTTAGGTGGCCCAAATGGAGAATGAACCATCTGTGGAGCAACCACCCCCTGTTGAGGACAACTAGCCATGCATTGCTGAGGAAGAACTAGTGAACATGACCCAAGAAGATCCTCCAGTGAGTCAAGTAGTTAGCCTAACTCCACTAGTTCAACAAGCCACAACTCCCACTACAAGAAAGAAAGAAAGAGCAAGAAGCGCTGATCGACCAGTAATGGGTTTAACAACTCAATTTTTTTTTGTTTAATTTAATTTTTTACTCTAAAATAATGCTAACATTATGGATCATGTTTGTAGAAGAAGGCAGAAAAGAGAGCAAGGAAAAATACCCTAACCCCAACTGTGCAAGAGGTAAATAACAACTTAAGTTTGTTTTTATTAATTAATAAAAATCTCACAATATTTCTATGTACATTGATTGGTGCTGCATCTAATATTCAGGGTTCGCCATCTGCACCTCCATCTGAAACCCATTCACAATCCAACAAAAACACAAAAAGTTAAGCATGCTTATCCAAAAGGGAAAGGGAAGCAACAATTTGAAGGTTTTGGAACATATGTGAATCCCAATACATGTTTTTCCAAATTAAATGTATGTGGATTATTTTAGCTATACGTTCTTCTTATTTTCATGCAAAATTAATTTAGTGTATTATGCTTGCTTAATGTAATTAATGTTTATTATAGCTTGGACATAGAAGTGAAAGAATTTTGTCATTCGGATATGCTTAAAAGATGGCTACAAGAGTTGGAGATAGAGGAATTCCCGCTGTAACTTTAACGCCTGCACCAACAGCACCTGCACCAATAGCACCAGCAATACCTGCACCAATGGCACCTCCATTTATAACAACACCAACTCCCTCAGGAAGCAGTAGGCAATTTGTTACTACCACTAACTTGCAAGCACTATTCTGGGAAAAAAGAAGGCAAAAGGAAGAAGAAGCACTTGGTCGTTGGGCAGAGTTATTGACTAAAATTCACACAGATAAACAATCAAACGTTTAGACTGTGAAGTTATTAAGTGTTGTTTGCATGGATGCTTCTTTTTTGGACAGATTAGGGTGTGTATTGCCTGGATGATTGTTTTTGGACAGACACCCCTATTGAGTGTAAAGCTTTTTGTTGTGTGTTTAGGGTGTGCTTCTGTTTTGGACAGATTAAGGTGTGCTTCTGTTTTGGACAGATTAAGGTGTTCTTCTATTTTGGACAGATTAGGGTGTGTAGTACATAGAGTGGTATTGCATGGACACTTGTTTTTGGACAGATATGAGAGTTTAGGTTGCTTGTTGTATTTGGTGGGAATCTGCTATAATGTGCTTTTCTTTTGGATTTGCACAACATACATTTTGTATTTTACTGTATATGCATTGTAATTTTGGTATTGGGATTAATGAAATGCATATATTGACTTTTGTGAATTGCTTTAGGTAAATGACCAATTGCCAAATTTGCCTATCTTTGGATACCAGAATGCTTTTGTGCATAAATTGGTATAAAAATGCAATTGAAACAACCCAGAAACTATGTTACCTAGAAATGGAATGCATTACATTTCAACAATTGGGAATTGATAAAAACATAACAAAAACATTATACATATAGATACAAACACCTATATATGTCCATTACATCAACCTAAACACACCAACTAATATGACAAGTACAGCCACGAACACAACAAAAACCACACACATTATGTGGTTGACTTTATTTAATGTCCAGTAATCCTTATCCAACTTTTTCACTTTCTTCTCAGCTGTCTTCATCTTCTTCATCCATAATTCACACTGATTTGCCAAATACCCATTATCATTCTTCAAAGTCTCATTTTCGTTCTTCAAAGTCTCATTTTCGTTCTTCAAAGTCTCATTTTCGTTCTTCAAAATATCATTCTCATTTTTCAAATTCCCATTTTCTAGCACCAAATCAATATTTTCCTTACTCAATTTCTCATTCTCTCTCTTTAGCTTCTGTTCCCTGTCTTTTAGTATTAAAAGCAACTCCCTTGGTTTCTAACAAGGTTAAATCATTAAATCAAAAAAGAAAATTCAGTGCAAATGAAATTAAGTTTTAGGATAGAACATACCACCAAGTTAGGGCACCCACGAAACCTTTTTCCCATGTTCTGGTAAGTGAATGACATTCGCACCACAGCATTCAAACCATAATCACAGATATATTGTAAGGATTCACCCCCACTAGCAGTAGAGGCAACCCAACTCAAGCAACTCTCATAACAAATTCCCTGCATTTGGGCAATTCCTCAAGTTCCCTCGAGAAAAGAGAAGAAGAAGAAATGGGTTAAGATCAAAGGAGTGGAGATGAAAGAGCAATTTAGGGTTCACCGGAGTAATTTATTGGTGCTTTGGCAATCAATGTGGGGCCCATTTGAGTTTGGCGCCTTTGACGTCGCGGGAAGATGACATGGCAGAACATTTTGTCCATATCAGCACTTTTCTAAATTTTACTCTCCACGTCATAAAAAAATATAAAAAATGCCACATGGCACAGTTAATGACCCAAATTGACAAAAGAACTAACGGAGTGCATTTCGTATAGTTGAAGGATAAAAAAAGTGTAAAAAATTGTTGAGAGATCAGAAATGTGCATTTCTTAAAGTTGAGGGACCAAATTTAGCATTTAACCAAAAATATAACCCTATTCAATATTAAAATTTAAAAGGTAAATTCAAAATATGTCTAAACAAATACAATAAGAAATTGGATTGGGATTGATTTTTATTAACCAAGAAGAAACTATTAATTAAGAACAAATTAGTAACTAAGATCAAATCTTGATGTTCTTGATGTTCTTGATATTCTTATCATTGTGCTTCTAATGGTGATGAGAGTACCTCAACCTTTGATTTTTGATTTTTAGTAGGCATTCTTGCTTTTTATTTTTATTATTTTTAAAAGAGATGTTTTTGACAATATCACATGCTACAACTCAATATATGACACATAATCTAATTTTTGACGCAAGTGCCACAAAAAAAAAGAATTAAAGAGCTTGAGAAGAAGAAGGGGAGAATACGAGTGGAAAAAAGGAACAATTGAGAGAAAGAGAAACTGACAAAAGATTAGGATTTGTGTATTTTATTTCTATTTTTAATATTAGAAAATTAGAAATTTAAAATTAATTTTTAAATAATCTAATAAAAATGAATAAAAAAAGTTTGAGTCATTTTAGGTGACCCAACTTACCCGTGATCCAACTTACCTGTGATCCAATCCATTTGGGCTCGGATAATTTCAATCTGGATTATTTCATATTTCGAATTAACACATAAGACCCATCACCCAACCTATAACGTATGGGTTGGGTCAGATTTTCGAATTAAGTCCAATTTTACCAGATCTACTTGCCATTACAGATTGCCATTGTGGACAATAAAGGTTAGATTTGATAAATAAGTCGAATAAGTTAAATTTGGATTGGT